TTTAAAAGCAACCAAAAAAATGTTAAGATACCTTCTCAGTAAGTGTGGCTACATACACATATACCTCACAGGAGGGTCACTCCTTGTTACACTTACATAATAACAACTCAAAAATGGCGCCACCAAACTAAAGCAGCAGCAAAGGCATACAATCTGGTAGATGACAAACGACAAAGTTTGTGACTTTGACCAAGTGATTTCAGAAGCTACATACCTAATAAGGTATGTGTATATGTATTATATGTATATATCCATGATGTGAAAAGGGCAACGGAAGAAGCTTAGAAGTGCAAGGAAGTAACTTTATTTCCTGTCATGCTGCAACTCCACTTTCTGCTACAATTTCCTTACTCAAGCTTTTAGTGACTCTCTCAATTTTAACTGCCCCTGACTTACATATTTTGTAAGCTCCTTATAAACAAGGGCAACTAAAATGGTAAAAGTAACAACGCTTACCCCTTATTAATGCTCCACTTACATACTAATTATACAGTGAGAAAAGTTTGGCGGTACGCAGGTGTACAAAAGCGATGAATGTCAGCAAACGTTTAGTTGGTAGTTGCAACTTTTTGGTAACATATTGTTTGTAGCAAATTAAGTTCAAACAAAGCCACCTAAATATCTGAATTAATGCTAATGCAGTCTAAAACTTTCCTAGAAGTGCACGAACACACCTTTAAATGGATGTAGTAAAAGCCGCAAGTATCAAGGTCTCAATCCATTTTGTCTTTAGAACTTTAAAGCATTCCAGATTTTATTTAATTTCACGTTGTTTTAAATTATTTTATTTAAATTAAACAAATTTCAGTTAAATTAATTTAAATTTATTTAATTCCTTTCCTTTTATTTTATTTTGGTCCAGCTCATTTTGTTAAATTTATTAAATTAATTTTTTATTTATTTAATTATATTTTATTTTATTTTAGTTTATTTTACTTTATTTTATTATATTTTTATTTTATTTCATTTAATTTACCGCTAACCATTCGGAAGGCTCGAGTTAAAATCCCCGTGCGACCAATATCCAAAAGATATAGAAAATTAATTTAAATAAAAAATTAAGTTAAACTTTTTAACTGCGGTGCCCGTCGGCAGGGAATGTCAACCTCTCCGAGTTTATTTCTGTCATGAAACAAAGGCTCCTCGTAAAAAACCTTCAGACTTTCGGAGACGGCTTAGTCTAAACTATAGGTCTCACCATTTGTTAGAAAAACATCAAGAATTCAATTTAATTTAATTTTTTAATATACGTTTTTTTTTAATTTAATTCATTTTATTTTAGTGTTATTTTATTTCACTAAATTTAATTTAGTTTTATTTTGTTTTATTTTAGTTTATATTATTATATTTTTATTTTATTTCATTTAATTTTATTTATTTTTTGTTTTACTTTATTTTATTTTATTTTTCGTTCTTAAATTTTATTTTATATTATATTATTTAAAATTATTTTTTTTACTTTTTTATTTTATTTTAATTTGTTTGGTAATTTATTTTATTTTATTAATTTTAAAATTCTTAATTTAGTATAAGTAAAAACAAAAATTTACTTTTAACTTTTCTTACATTTTTTCACCCCTTTCAAACCATAATAGCCCATTGTATAAATTGTAAATAAATCTCACGAAAAAAATTGTTGTTGACAACTAAGCAATATTGTAACGCTCAAAATGCAACGCAGCTCATTTTACTCGTTACCGTCCTAATTTTAGGTAGCGTTTGAAAACTTTTTCACTCTTTCAGCAGCTCACTTCAAACTCTTCAACTTGCCCTTGTATGCATCAGTGATTTCGAAGTTTCAACTTTTTCCCTTTTTTCATGTTTCATTGATTTTTGTTTTCATTAATTTTTTCCTCGCCCTGTTTTCCTTTTTTTTTTTTTGCTTTCACAAGGGACGGCAGTCCAAAAGTTTCAATCAGTTTCATGTGCCCACGTTTTGTAAACAAGTGAAATCTAATTATTCACAATGGGAATCACCTACTCCGTTCTTAAGGTTGAGTACAAGGTAGTTGGACGAAAAATGTTGTAGGTATGCGCTTAAGAGAGTTTTGGGTGGAAAAAGAGTGTTTGCATATATTTGGAAATTCTAGACATTTTTAATCAAAATTAGTGGAACAAATGCATTACGGTTTTGAAATTAATTTCTTTACTTGTGATTAATGGTAAAAGTTGCTCTAGAATAAGCCTTTTCAGCTCTAGTTTAAACATTCAGAATTAAAAATTTTAAAACTTTGTAGAATTTTTGTATAAGTAAAGGGGCTGCTATTAATGAACTAAAGAAAAGTGTACTGCACAAAAAAAGCATGCTGTGAAATTTAGTTGGAGATTTACATGGAAAACATATGGCATAACATATGTACTTAGAGGGTGTGACAAGTACCAAGGAGCCAGAGTAGATAGAGCTTTATGAGATGTCACTATATTTTCTGTTCAATTGCGTTCATATCTGCTGCTTGCTTTGGGGAATCGTAAGGCAAATTTAAACTTTTAGTCGAAATTTGTACAACGATTTGTGATAGTTATCCAATATTTCAAATATTACATTATGTGATATGTATTTTTCATACTTTAAGCTTTTTGAGCTTTTAGCAAGCCATTATAGCTGTGAGTGGTAATTGTCCTTATGAAACAGAGTTCACCTTCTGATTGCAAAAACTGTTCAATTTCTTCAATTTTACGGTCCTATCGCTAATAGGATACATCCAAAATAAGAGTTTGGCCATAGGGGAGCAGTTCAAAACCCTCCTGGCCGTAAATCTGGGCTTAGAGTCTGCTCACCACCTTCTACCACACTTGTTTTTATTCAGCGGTTCAGTCACCATCTGCTGCAGATGGATATCCGGTTCATGAGGTTTTTTCCCGTTGCACCCATATATGGCTCGTCTTTGCGAAACTGTTGCAGGTATTAGTTCAAAAAATCAAGCACTTTATAAATATTTTGTTATATCATCAATATCCAAGTAAGTTCAACGTTTTGGCATAAGTGCGAGGATTTTTGAAGCTTCAACTTTATCACCTCCTTGTAGTGAATGCGACTTCGCCAACAGAAGGGAAACCTCCAATTCCGCAAAGTGAACTCAGCGATTTTATTCGCAGCTGTTTGACGGAAATAAATTTTATAAGATTGTGTAATTTTATATGAAGAAGTAAAAGCCCCGAAATTGAAGACAGTTCTGTGCGATTTATTAGAAAATTAACGGAAGGTTAATGCTAGAATATCTCTGAAGGTACAATACAGCCTTAGCCAAAAGTATTAGGCGCCCCACTAATTACTGAATTCTCTATTTTAACAAGTGGAGTAGTGAAGTTTTATTAGTAAAACAGTGAAAATACAATGAGTCAGTGATAATAACATCAACTTTTAGTAGGTCCACCGTTCGATTTAATAATGGCAGCAATTCTCTTAGGCATGCTGCGTACAAGCTTTGCACATTCGACTGCATTTATAGCGTACCAGTCGTTAACTAAGGCTTTCTTTAAGGCAGTTTTTGATGTTAATCTTCTGTTTTAAAATAGCCCACATGTGCTCAACGAGATTAAGACCTGAGGACTACACAGGCCAATCAAACAAAACGATGTTGTTATCTTTAAACCAACGCATCGTAGTCGGTGATTTGTGACAAGGAGCATTCTTACTGAAATTGAACCCCGCCTAAATTAGTATCGCTGAAAATGCGCTTTAACGAAGGCAGAAGAACTACTTCTAAAACATTTCTTCCGTGAAATTTTGTTATCTCCGAGCCCATTCCGAACGTTTTTTCCTATTCTTTTCTGAGAGCCACGGTTTCTTTCGGGCTTTGTATCCTCTTAAACCTGCTTCCAGAAGTCTTCTTCTAGCTGTTCGAGAGCCAGCTGGTTTACTAAATTCATCCGAAAGGACAGCTGCAAGGGCAGAAAATGATTTTTGCGATCCTTGAGAGACTCGTGTATAAGTATTCGGTGTTCCCGTTTACTGTTTGGACGCTTTGTTCCACTTTTTGATTGATCAATGTGATATTTCGTGTCCACAAATTGCCTGATAGCACAATGGACCGCGCGCCGCGAACATCCCACCAAATTGGCAAACCCAACCTGAAACTAACTTTCTTCACTTAGAACTTTATCATCGTAACTAATTTCTCCTTTTTAGGCATTTCGTTATATATAATATGAACTGTTTTTATAAGATTGGTAACTTATGTATTTTTAGAAATTACAATTTTTCGGTTTAGCTTACCCAGAGTGCTATGACTTTTAATATTACGCAATTTATACGTTTAATCAACAGTTAAACACCCATGAAAGATATTTACCAAAAGAAGTGGTAACTTTTATAGCCACATTTGAGAATACTTTTATTTTAGTGAGGTACCTAATACTTTTGGCCAAGGCCAAGGCTGCATTAACTCTCAATTTTCCCACGAAAACTTGGATGTTACTAGCGACGAACAACCAGAGCGGCTACGCTAAGATCTAACCGAAAAATGATACCATGGATTTTGTAATGAAGGCAAGATGAGTGACTCTTATTGGACTCCCTTTTTTTGAAACAGATCCTAAGCCATAGCTAAGACTTAGTTTCACGTGTATTTATTTCGCATTTGTTACTTTTATTTTCTTAAAATATCCAGTATTTGCCAAAAATCATAAAAAATTATGGTAATGACTACATCAAAAGCTAGAAAAAATGCAAAAAATTGGAGAGAAAAATTGGATTTAGCGCAGAAGATTTTTACAGAAACCACCTTTGGCTGCCCAGGTCCAAGTTCGGGTATACTAGCGCTGTTCCCCAACTGTAAACCGTGAGAAAAAACTATAATAATGACAAATAGAAGGCTTGGGAAAAATTAATAAGATTTAGCCACAGTTCAACAAGTGAACTTAAATCCATAAATATGAAATCTCTTAAATCTTTTTAACCAAATCCCACGAAGCACTTAGGGCAGGATGATATCTTTAGTTTAATAAACTTCACTACATTTCTTTTTTTTTTTTTGCTTTTTGTCTACACTCTTTTACAGCACTTTCACTCGCATTCGTGCTGTATAACCGCAAACGCAAGACAACGAAGAAGAAACGTGCCGGACCGGAAAAGGATGTACGTGAGACAGTTATCAGTTATGACGATGAAGGTGGCGGCGAAGATGATATGACAGCATTCGATATAACACCACTGCAAATACCCATCGGCGCCGGCGGTAATATGCCACCAGATATTGCCACCTGCAAAATGCCAATAATATGTGAGTAAATACACAAGTGAATACATACACATATACATACATATGTAGTGATAGTAGAGGAAAGCCTAATGCAATGTGGCATAATAAGTGGTATTTTATGTACTAGAAATATATGTACAAAATGTGAGTGCAATACATATTGAATAAGGGCACGTAAAATATTATTGGATTAGCAAAAATAAAAGTGAAATAAGTTTATACAAACTGCACGTTGCATATAAGCTCGTATATACACTACTTACATAACTCCTTGCTAATCCGCATTTCCACTCTACTCTTTTCCTTTCAGATCCCGTCATGACACTGCTGCCAGGCCAAGAAGTTAATGTCGGCTTCCTTATGGAGGAGCGCAAAAATCGCTTCGATAAAGATCCCAACGCACCACCCTTCGACGACCTACGCAACTTCACCTTCGAAGGCAGTGGCAGCATAGCTGAGTCGTTGAGCTCCTTGGCCTCAGGTGCGTACCGGCACACTCCGACCACCGTCGCCACCACTTCTTTCATACACTGTAATTTGTGCTAATGTTGTTATTGCAATTATCAGCAATAAAACAACAATTCTCTTAATTTATTATCGTACAAATTTACTTACTCCAACTCCATTACAGGCACCGACGATGAGAATCAAGACTACAACTACTTGACGGGTTGGGGACCGCGTTTCAATGCGCTCGCCGCTATGTATGTGCATCACGACCGCACAAAGTTGACACGCGTAGTGGCGACAAACGAAACGGCGCTGCCCGCGCTAAAGGGTGGCCTAACGTCAACCAATCTGGCCGTAACAACGGCAGCGGCTACAAGCTGTGGCATGGGTATGCTGGCGAAAACAACAGCAGCGGTAATTGAAGAGGAGGACGAAGAGGAAGAGGAGGAGGATGAGGAGGAGGGCAATGTGGCATTATAAGATTAGGCAAGGCGGCACAAGCAAGCGAAGTACGAAAGCACTGAACTAAAAAGAGCAACGTAGATTTACAAGGAATGAGTGGCACAATGAGTAAAAAGCAGGTTTGAGTCAATAAGCTTTCGGGCCACATATGTACATATTAGCCTTTTAAAAAATGTGCCGGCAATTAAGGTCATACATACATATTTTCCATGAGTCGGCGATTGGGTGGCTGGGTGCAAAACGACTGGCGCAAATTAAGAAAAAAAAGCCGAAAAAACCTAAGGCGCGCGTACAAATGGAAATTTCAGCGAAATTGTATGAAAAATTGTATCTTAAAACACGAAAAGGAAACTTCACTGCTGGCTTGCGCTTGTGTGTTTGACATACTGGCAAACGAACTTTTGGAATTCCACGCTTTCCTTGACTTTGGCTGGCATGAAACACCGCACCTCATTCGCTCAAAGAAGGTGTCAGTGGAAAAACGGCTGAGCAAAATGATGTGAATCTAATTATCTCTGTAAGTAGCGGCAAACACGTAGGGAGACACCACAAGCTGGAGGTGAGAATTCAAGCATAGCGAAGGGTGGCTTCTCAAATGTAGTATGTGTATGTATATAAATATATTTATATGCATATGAGCATATTAAGAAAACAATAACAACTCAACTGTAATATAGTTTCTTGTAAATATTAACAATAAAAAACGAACGACTTAATGAAATTAGTTTAAAAATCGAAAATGACAATTTAATAAAAATTATGAAAATTTATGTAATTTTAAATCAATAAAACTACTAATAAGTAATAATATAATGTTATTAATAATTAAATTATAAACATGTAAGAGTGGCAGCATTATGCGAACGACTATTAGTATAGTTAAATCAAATTTAACTTAATTTGAATGGTAATAAAATTATATTTATGAAATCAAATAGGACGAAATAAAACATAATTGTTTGCAGAAAAACAAATATGGAAAAGGAGCAAGTAAATTACACCATAATTATCTAAAGTAGTTATTATTTTTGTTTAAATACCATAAAACTAATTAAATTATTAGAAATAATAAAATGAAAAACAGAAAAACACGAAACACTTCTGCATTTATTAGAAGAGAATTAATTTAAACGTTAAATGTATAACAATTAACAAAGGAAAATAATATAAGTATGACAAAAGAAAAAATTATAATAAAATTATACAATATGTAACACTGAAATCAAAATATAAATTAATGAATAAAATAAACTTAGTTAATGAATTGTTAGTTAGCCATAAGGATATTGATTTTTTAATAATAAAAATAAAATGATAATTTCAGAAATATAAAACAAAGAAATATAAAACCAAAAAAAAAAAGTATTTAATTTATTTCTATTAAAAGAGCTTATGAATGCATTCAAGCGCTGTTAAACGCACGAGCAGGTAAGTTTTTATTTTTGTTGTGCACACACATAATCCTCATATATACTTATATGTTTGTGAAGAAAAACAACAACACCTGATATCCAAACCCCTACCATCAGCACATCAACAGAAATTAGTTCCAGCTGTTGCCTCGTCCCATTTTGTGTTACTCTTTACTGCTTCTTCCTATTGCTACATCAAACAACATGCTCACCGCTCTTTGTTGTGTTTAATGATCCTTTGAGGCAGACATCGTGACCAACATCCAGCATGGTTGCAACTAATCAGCCAATTGCCCAGCGGGCTGCCAGTCTAATGTCATATAAAATGTCACTCAAATGTGAAATAGGAAACAGGAAAGCAGAACTGGCAGCGCGTAAAAGTAAAAGTGATAGAAAAGTAGCAAGGCAGCCAAGGGAAATATTGTAACTAAAGTTACGTTTAGTTATTTTGCTCACTTAAGCGGCTGCCATACGGTACACAATATTTCAGAGTTTATTAAAAAATTCTGGCCTAAGCCCTTTTTCTTAATATTAAATACTCCTAAATTCTTGTAAGTGACAGTTTCAAATACATTGACTTATATTGTAAAGAAAATTTGCTAAGAACCATTGAGAAATAGCATTTTTCGGTGGCTCCGAAGATTTGATACTCGGTTAACGTGCAAATTATATTCACAGATCGGGCATCATGAATTGGGTATAAATTTAGACCCCAAAAAGTAGCATACCAATCAAGTGACAATTTTAAGTATCACTTTCAATAGGACTTTGTGTTCCGTATAATAGATTTTAAGATATACTTTCTGATCCAAAAGTGAGTGAGGCCAAGTTCGCACAAAATTACTGAAAATAATTACTGAATTATATTGATTTTTGTATTTTTCATAATTATCTTTATATGGGAGGTAGGCGTGGTCCGATTAGAAATAGCGTCCGTGGCCGCGATAGCCGGGTGGTTAGCATAGCGTAATGTCATTTGGAAGGCTCGGGTACGAGGTTATAGAAAATGATTTGAAACAAAAAAAGTTGATTTAATTTTCGAGCCGCAAATTGGACATATACAGTGGGGAGCAAAAATGGTTCTACGATCAACGTTTTTTTAACTATTCACTGAAAAAATGAAGAATGGTTGTCAAGGCGCAAAAAAATTAAAATGTTTGTGCTCAAAAGAAGTTGAATAGTCACCGTTGCCTTCTAAGAGACTCTGACGCTTGACTTATGATGTCTAAAAACAGAAAAAATAGGCTTTTAACGCCAAAAGAAGCTTCTGCAGTAACAAAGAAAGGCGTGAGTCGATGAACAGCTATAACAGCGCTTGGTAGGATTGGGTACGTCGCAGTACCAGCACTATCCGAGAAAAATGTTAAGGCTTGGCTAAAATTCCCAAGGAACTCAAGAACTGGACAATAGAAGACTGGAAACGTGTTGTCTGGTCGGAAGAATCTACAATAAGTTTAATCGGTGTCAATCGGATGGAATGCAATACTGTTGACAAGCTTCAAAGGCATCATGTGAAGCAAACCGTAAAATATAGAGGCGTACCCAGAGCAAGAAATCGCTTTTTAGCAAGATGGGGAACCCAAGCACACTGCGAAAATTGTTAAAGAATGGCTTGGAAATCAAAATTTTAGGATGATGAAGTGGCCAGCGCAAAGACCCGACCTCAATACGATTGAAAACCTGTGGTCAATCGTAAAGCGACGGCTCGGACAGTATCAGTCAGCCCCACCCATCTTTGGGGGCGTATTGAGTAAGAGTGGAATAATATTCCGAAGGGAATATTTGTAAACATAGTTGAAAGTATGCGAAAACGTTTGAAAAATGTCATAGAAAATAAGGGTCTCCGGACCAAATATTAATAATGAATTGATTATGTATTTTCACTTTAATGGCGCGAAACTAAGTAAATGTAGCTTGCTTTTGTTTTTGAATCATAACCATTCTACTAAGATTTCAATTACTTTATTTCTTACGCCTTGTTGTTACAAATAAAATACTTAAATTTTAAAGTTTTATCATTTACTTCGTTCGTTTAGCTTTTATGTGCTTCTAAACATGAAAACGTTGATCGTGGAATCACTTTTGCTCCCTACTGTACATAGTAATAGCGTCCGCACTTGTGAGCCAGGCAATTGTATGTACCAAGTTGTACCAAAATTTATCTCACTTAAGTCATAGGATTCACAAACGGACAGGCAGACAGATATGGCTCAAACAATTTTTCTTGTCATTCCATGAAGTTTGGTGGCGGTCTCCGAAACAAAATAATTTATTTTCTTTATTATAATTTTTTTCATTCAAAAACTAATACCCAACCACATACTGGTTTTATCTCTTATCACTCATCTTTCTGCAGCATAGAATTCACCTCAAGAATCATCACGAAGGTTAAACGACGTAATCAAAGCAAACAGTTTAGTAGTTTTCCATTCATCTCACACCCACGGGCTGACGTCAGAGAAAGTACTTGTTTACGACAAGGTGGGCTTATTTCACAACGGTGTGGTCGTCACTGCGTACGGTAGTGATGTTGACTAGAGTTCTTTCATAAAGCATAGAAAAGAGTGGTTCTCCCTACGCCGTTCGCTATCTCGTGATGGTTTTAGACAATGTAAACTTCTATCATGTGATTTCTTTAATTAAATAGACAAAATTATATTCAAAACAAGCTAAGCGAAATAGTTTGATGTCTTTTCTCATTCAACAAAACATCCGATCACTTCAGTTCTGGCTCTGAAATCAATGGCAAACTTGAACTGCATTCTTTAAATCAGATATTTGAAACTCATTTTACATCCATCATAAAGGGTAAATATATACCGCATATTGACTGTTTTGGGTTCAAACAATTCGTGTGGCTAGATATTCCCGAAAAAAAACTATGCCGATCTCTCAAAAAACGCTACAAAAATATATAATACATATATGAAATATTTGCAAACCGAACGCAAAACTCAACTTCATCGCCATCCCAGCAACATAGAGATCAAAGCTGGCACATCTATCATCAGATTTGGAAACAATCAGTTAGCGTTTGTGGTTGCTTTAAGAAACCAAGTTACGCTAGACAAACTTTCAAGCGAGCTCTAGAGCTAAAGCTAAGGAAGTGATCAGAAAACTTTCTTTCACTAAAGAGATTCTAGCCCGTAATTACAAGATCGAGAGGAACAACTAAACTACATGAAAAAAGTGTATGAGAGATTAGCGAATCAAACCAAATCAGACGAAAACTGCGTTGTTTACGTCAAATCTGCTCGTGCTGCGATCTCAATAGCCTGATGAGATAAATACCGAGTATGTACATATCTCTAAAGAAAACAATTGTAAAAGCTATATCTAGACTAAGAGCAAAGTACTGGCAATAAAACTCAGAAGCCCACTGATCACTGGTGTCTCAAAACTCAGCAAGAATATATGGCCTCCGCAGCAGTCCCAAAAGTAAACATATTGTACATATTTTAATGAAAAATTCTAAGAATAATCCGGTGATCGAATATACCGCCACCTTAAAATTCCCACAGTTGGTCGGAGATTGTCTCATCCTGACAAAAACCAAAAATTATTCGATCTATTCTTCTTCTACATTGCCGTGGACACCGTTTAGCTTATAATAGCTGAATCAACAATAGCATGCCATTCGATTCTTCTCTTCGCTCTTTGGCGGCACCTAGTGAAATAAGGTGATCATTTGATCCTTTCAACAACGTCGAAACATTCATCTTCCTCTGGTGCCACCGGAGTGGCAGTGCATCAAATACTTTCGGATAACATCACCAAGCCTGCGTAGCCGTTGTCTCTTCATTCGTTAAACTATTTCAATGTCACCGCATAGCTCGTACAGGTCATCATTCCATCGTCTGCGATGTTTGCCGTTGGCAATGCGGAAATGACTATAAATCGTTCGCAAAACTTTTTCCTCGAATGATGTTTGTTGGATACCCAGGGGACACTTGACCTAAGACCGGAAGTCGTGAACTGCTTAAACCACATGCAAGAAAATCGTTGCTGACCACCCACAGGTGAATGGCAATCAAAAACTTTCCTCATCTTCAATTTTAGAGCTTAAATTTAAATGCGACACAAAATTTAACAAATCGTGTCTACGTCGTTTAATTAAATATAAATTACAAGAAAATGTTTGGTTAAAATTTGTGAGGTAAAATGATTAAATACAAACAATGCAATTAGTGACATATTGATCCTGATTTATTTGCTCAGCTTATTAAAATATATTCAATTTAAATAAATATATTTTAGTATTTATGAATTAATAAACCTTTTAGTATTTTAGTTTAATAAAAGCTATAACAAGTTTTTTCCATAGAA